TTTGGTGGTGGTACCATCACTACCACTGAACAATGCTGGATAGGGCCAGGGAGACTTAGCAGGGGCACAGGCCTGAGCTGAGCATCAGGGCATCAGAGTTCTAGTCCCAGTTCTGTCACTAACCACCTTCTCTGAGCTTCAGTTCACCATCAGTAATGCAGGGAGCCTGGGCTCAATCAGGGCTTAACTTTTTTTTGGATTAAAATTTCCTCCTCTGGACGGGTGTGGTAGCTCATGCCTATAATCCCAACACTTTTTGGAGGCCAAAGCAGGAGGATTGCTTGAACCCAGGAGTTCAAGACCAACCTGGCCAACATGGTGAACCCCACCTCTACAGAAATACAAAAATTAGCAGGGCGTGGTGGTACACACCTGTGGTCCCAGATACTTTCAAGGCTGAGGTGGGAGGATTGCTTACGCCCAGGAGGCAGAGTTTGCAGTGAGCAGTAATCATGCCACTGCACTCCAGCATGGGTAACAGAGAGAGGCCCTGTCTCAAAAAGAAAAAAATAAATGCCCTCCTCTCCTCCAGAATAAACACACAAAAAATATTACACCTGATTTTCAGAGGTTCCTTCACCGATTTCCTGAAGCCTTTCTGTAGAGGCCAAATTGAGAATTCCTAGGCTATTTGGCCAGACAACCACTGTTTAGGAGTTCTTCCTTATATACATTTTAAATAGTTTTTGGTCCACTAGGTTGCCCATGACAGGTATTAAACCACGGTGAGGGGACACCAGGGCCTAGGTCTCCCTTGCTTTCTACCAAAAAGTGTCTATTGCCATGAAGCTAGCCTGTGTATCCAAAGTGCAAAGGAGAATAAGTCCTAGAAACGAGGAGAGCCGGCTGCTATGAAAAAGAAAAACAGGTAAGGCTCTTTGAGGATGCCACCTGATTATACTCCAAAGTAGACTATATGTATTAATACATACATTTGCTTTCTTGGAATGCCCTGCCTCCACCTCAACATGTCCAAACTCTGCCCATTCTTCAAGGCCCCAAATACCTTCTCTATTTCCTTTATTTCTTCTCTCAAACTAAAAGCAATCTCAGCCTATGCTGAACATCCACAGCACTTTGTACGCCTCTTAAGGAATTTACCATGACTCCCTTGTATTATCGGTTATGGATCTTTCCTCCCCTACTAAAAGGCAGGAGCAGCAACTGCTACCCTGTATAGAGAGGCTTCACACATATCCCTTATCTCATCTCATTTAGAACTAGATCCCAGCCACCACTGCTCAGCTCAGACCCTGGTCTCTTGCCTAGACCCCAGCCCCACCTGACCCCCTAGTGGCAGCTCTTCCATTCCTCCCACCCCCACCCATTTTCATTCTGCAGACTAGTGTTGAATCTTATCCTTTATTTTCTTTTTTAAGAGAGGCAGGGTCTCACTCTTGTCATCCAGGCTGGAGTGCAGTGGCACAATCATAGCTCACTGCAACTTCCTAGGCTCAAGCGATCCTCCCACCTCAGTTTCCCATGTAGCTGGGACTACAGGCACATAACACCTCACCCAGCTTTTTTTTTTTTTTTTTTTTGAGACGGAGTTTCACTCTT